TGACGGAAAAATCAACTTTGGTTTGTGGATGAGCGACGTACAGGATGCGTTAAATGCTCAGAATTTGGAAGAGACCATCATGGTCCACGAGAGGCCACCTAAATATGAAGAGGCGGTATGGGAGAAAATGAATAGGAACGCTTGTGGGGTGATCAGGTCCTGTTTGGAACAGGAGCTGAAGTATGATGTGATTGGGGTGACGTCTGCGATGAAGATGTGGGAAATTCTCAACAATAAGTACCTTACGAAGAGTGTTGAGAACCGATTGCACTTGCTGCGTAGGTTATTCAGATTCCAGATGTCCAGAGGCACCTCGCTTGCGGCTCATGTGAACAACTATACGAAGTTGTTGTCGGACTTGGCGAATGTTGATGAGAAGATATCGGATGAGTACAAGGCGATTATTTTGTTGGGCTCCTTACCGGATGAGGAGTATGATACCTTCGTGCTCACTTTGTTGAACGGGAGATCTTCTATCAGTTATAGTGAAGTGACTAACGCATTGACCAACTATGATTTGAGGAGGAAGGACAAGGAGACTTCCCGCGCTAGTACTTCAGGAGAGGCCTTGTCGACAAGAGGTAGAAGCCCATATCCGAAAGGTGGTAACAGAGGGAGGTCAAAGTCTAGAGGCCGCCACCAATTAACAAAGAACCAATGTGCATTCTGCAAGGAGCAGGGACATTGGAAGAGAGACTGCCCGAAGCTCAAAGAGAAGGAGAATAGCAAGAAAAAGGGCCCGAAGGCCAATGAGGTGAACATTGCGAAAGGCGATGATTCCGATGATTCGTGCTTTTCTCTACTGATTACTCCGGAGGTGAACCATGTGGATGCATCAGATTGGATGCTTGATTCCGGCGCTACCTTTCATGTGACCCCTAGGCGAGACTGGTTTGCATCTTTTGAGAAAGTCGACGGGGGCGTTGTTGTCATGGGAAATGATCAATCCTGTGGCGTTTGTGGGATAGGTACCGTACGGATTAGGATGCACGATGGAGTAGTCCGTGAGTTGAAGGAGGTGAGATTTGTTCCTCAACTGAAGAAAAATCTTATCTCAGTTGGAGCTTTGGAGGCGAAGGGATTCAAGGTGACTTTCGAAAACGCTGTAGCGAAGGTTACTAAGGGATCATTGGTGGTGATGAGGGGAGTCCGCAATCGGAATTTGTATTATCTGAAGGGAAGCACCGAGATTGGCCAGGTTGCTTCGGCTATTTCAGAAGCGGACATGAGCAGACTTTGGCACTATAGATTGGGGCACACAGGTGAAAAGTCACTGCAGGCATTGTGCAAGCAGGGGCTATTGAAGGGAGCCAAGAGTGGGAAGATTGAGTTCTGTGAGCACTGTGTTCTTGGCAAGAAGACGAAGGTGAAGTTCGGGACTGCCATTCATCAGACGAGGGGCATCCTGGATTACGTGCACACAGACGTTTGGGGTCCCACCAAGACTGCATCACTTGGTGGTAGACATTGGTTCGTCACTTTTGTAGATGACTATTCTAGGCGTTGTTGGGTGTACACCATGACGAAGAAGAGTGAAGTCCTAGATTTGTTTGTGGAGTGGAAGAAGAGATTGGAACTGCAGACTGGGAGAAAGATCAAGACGTTGCGATCCGACAACGGTGGTGAGTATACTTCTGACCCCTTTCAGCAGCTATGTCGAGACGAGGGCATAGAGAGACACTTCACAGTTAGTCATACACCGCAGCAAAATGGGGTGGCAGAGAGGTTGAATCGGTCTTTACTGGAGAAGATCCGATGCTTATTGTCGCAGAGTGGTTTGGAGAAGATCTTTTGGGCTGAGGCACTTACATATGCGAGCCACCTCATTAATAGGCTGCCTTCATCTGCGATTGAGGGGAAAACCCCTATGGAGATGTGGTCGGGAAAGCCAGCACATGACTATGACCAGCTCAAGGTATTCGGGTGCCCTGCATATTATCATGTTAGAACTGATAAATTGGAACCTCGAGCTAGGAAGGCCATATTTGTAGGATTCAAGCGTGGTGTCAAGGGATACAAGCTTTGGGATCCAGTTGATAAGAAGATTGTGCTGAGTAGGGACGTCACATTCGATGAGGCTTCTATCTTGAAGCTTCCCAGCTCTCATCAGGTGGAGAGCGACCCGACGGAGGAGATATCGCAGGTGGTGGAGATCGATGCAGCTCCACATTGTCCAGATGGTACAGTATCCATGCAGGTGCCGACTGAGGTGACGCCAGGCGAGCATGACGGTGACACGGAGGATACGAGTACAAATGTGCAGGATCAGGAACCGACGGCTCAGGTTCAAGATCCTATTGCGGTTCGGAGACAGAGGAGAAACATACAGATGCCAGCACGGTATGCCGACACAGTTGCGTATGCACTTCCGGTGGAGAGTATCGATGAGTTGGTGCCTACTACATTCAGAGAGGCCGAGCAGAGTTCGGAGGCTGATTCGTGGCAGGGGGCTATGCAGGAGGAGATGGAATCTCTTCATAAGAACGATACATGGGAGCTTGTTGAGCTTCCAAAGGGGCGGAAGGCAATTGGTTGCAAGTGGGTATACACGAAGAAGGAGGGCATTGAAGGCACTCCGTTGAGATTCAAGGCTAGGTTGGTTGCGAAGGGCTATGCACAGGAGGAAGGTATTGACTATAATGAGGTTTTCTCTCCGGTGGTGAAGCATTCTTCGATTCGGATTTTGCTAGCTTTGGTGGCACAGTATGGTTTAGAGTTAGATCAGTTGGATGTGAAGACGGCATTTCTTCATGGTGATCTTGATGAAGAAATATATATGACTCAGCCATTGGGATTCCGAGCTGCAGGGAAAGATAAGTTGGTTTGCAAACTGAAGAAATCGCTATACGGTTTGAAGCAGTCTCCTCGACAGTGGTATAGGCGATTTGATGGTTTTATGATTGGTCATTCGTACACTCGGAGCCAGTTTGATCCTTGCGTATATTTTCGCAAGTTGAAAGGAGGTGCGTACATTTATTTGTTGCTCTATGTCGATGACATGTTGGTTGCCTCTATTTCCAGGTCGGCTATAGATGAGTTGAAAGTTCAGCTTTCAAATGAGTTTGAGATGAAGGACTTGGGTGAGGCGAAGCGCATTCTAGGGATGGAGATCGGCAGAGACAAGAAGAAGGGCAGAATTTGTTTGACACAGGTGGCTTATTTGAAGAAAGTTCTACAGCGATTCCATGTTAGCATGGATACGAAGCCAGTTGGTGTACCTTTGGGAGCCCATTTGAAGCTTTCAGCTGGTCTTTCACCGAAGTCAGTTGAAGATCGTGAGTTGATGTCGAAGACTCCATATGCGAGCGCAGTTGGGAGCTTGATGTATGCAATGGTATGTACGAGACCAGATTTGTCACAGGCAGTGAGCATGGTATCGAGATACATGCACGATCCAGGAGTGGGTCATTGGGACGCCGTGAAATGGATTTTGAGGTACATTCGAGGTACGCTCAATGTTGGTTTGGTTTATGAGCGGGACACTACAGGTGGGCAATTGTGCATTGGTTATGTTGATTCGGATTATGCCGGGGATTTGGATAAGCGTCGGTCTACTACGGGGTATGTGTTTACTTTGACCTGTGCGCCGGTGTGTTGGAGATGCACCTTACAGTCGACGGTGGCTTTGTCTACGACGGAGGCAGAGTATATGGCAGTTACGGAGGCTGTAAAGGAGGCTATTTGGCTTCGAGGACTTTTGGAGGAACTTGGTATATCGTAGAAGTCCGTCACTATTCATTGTGATAGCATGAGTGCTATCTATTTGGCGAAGAATCAGGTTTTTCATGCGAGGACGAAGCATATTGACGTTCGTTATCACTTCGTTCGGGATGTTCTTGAAGATGGCGATGTAGAGATTGTTAAAGTCCACACAAAGGATAATCCGGCAGATATGCTCACTAAGGTGGTTCCGAACAACAAGTTTGATCATTGTCGAAACTTGTTGCACATTCGTGATTGTTGAGGCCGTTGGCGGCCATTTGGGTGAACTACGTTCGGCTTGATTCCTTGGGCAAGAGGATACGTAGGCAGTCTTTCAGATGCAGCCGATTTGGATTAGTTGATTTTAATGGGGGTGAGATTGTTTGGACTCTCGTTTGGGTTCTCGACTTGTTGTGGATTGAGTCCGTACTGGACACAACAAGTGGGACATTTGGTTGCTTTGGTGTCGGCTCAGTTTTGGGAAAACTTCACCGAGGTGGAGAATTGTGAACGTGGGTCTACCACGTGTATGAGAAAGAGAACGCGGTTTGTTTCCGCGTGAAGCCGGCCCACGAACCAACTGCTCCCTATATAAACAATACTTTATTAGGTTTTTAGGGTAGCATTGAGGGCTTTGTTTTCTTTTGCGGCAGGAGAAAAAGGCAGAGCAATTGAGCGCAGGAGGTTGCTTTGCGGCTTGGAAATCTGATACCAGGCTTTTCTTTTAGGGTTTTCTTGTGCATCCTTTTTTGAGAGAGCTTTGTGAGGGATTTGAGAGTGTTGTGTGAGGGTTTTATTTGTGAGATTCTTATGTAAACCCTAGTTGTATTCTCTCCCTCTCTCTCTCTCTATCCCCCCTCCTTGCCCCGTGGACGTAGGCAATTTGTCGAACCACGTAAAATTGGTTGTACTGCTATTTTGTGTGATTTGTAATAGCTTTTAGGATCCCTATAATCATGCACCTTTTGTTTTTAATTTATCAACCTACTCTGCTACAATATAGCTTTCCCACGCTATGCAGTAATGGGGAAATTAGAAAAGTATTATTTTATTTCCATAAGATAAGTTGGATCTAAAGCATGGAGAGAACAACATTTGAGCAGTATAAAGTTGCTAATGAAATTTCTTCAATGAGAGTAGTTTCTCCTCTCTTCACTTTTATCAACCCTTTTGCATCTATTTTGGGTTAGTTCTGCCTGAAAGTATCTTCTGCCATGAAAATGAGATCTGGGTTTTTGGAATAATATGTTCTTTTGATGCATAAATAAATTTCAACTAGCTTCAGTGAGTAAACGATTGGTGTTATTTGGCATTACTTGAGTCTTCAATGGTCCGAATACAGGAGATAAGATTTGACTTTGGTTGCTCATTGGCCTCTGTATCCCCTTTTCATTTATTTCATTTGTGGTTGATTTAGTATAGGATTCTGTTCTTTGCCACTCCCCCTGTGAATACTCCTCCCTTACAAGAAGCCTTTCCTTTTATGGAATAAATCTGCATTTGTCCTGTCATTTATATAGGTTGGTTTCAGTTGTTGGCATTTTCTGTCACTGTAGTATACGCTAGGGGATTAGATATGATCTGGGTTTTGTTTGTGAGGGAGGTTACTGCAGATTTTGATTTTTTAGGTTCATTATCCCGACATTTATTCATTTTGTACCTGATTTGTTATCAAATTAGTGATTTTTTAATCATTGTCATATGTATAGTTTCTGTCTTGTTTGATTCATATAGTTGTTTAATGAGAATAACCTTTTTCTTGGCGAAACATTCAAGAAGTGTGCTGATAATTCACTGGATTGTTTATGGGTTATTCTCGTGTGGTATTTCTTCTCTTCTATACAAACAATTGTCTACTTCCTTCTCCTTTTCTTTTTTGAAACCTATGTTTTAGTTTGCAATACTTCTATGTGACACAATTTATTTTTTATTTTTCTTGTTGTAACAATTTGCAATTTGGTGTCAGGGTTTATGTTCAAGGACAACTTTGTATTTTGCAATATGAATTTTCAGTTAGTATGTTAGCACTTTTCTAAGTAAGCGAATTCAAGCACCAACCGAAGTTCATGTCGTTTTTTCTCAATGAAATTGATCTTCTGAGTTTCACGAGAGGGCATATATACGTTCAACTTCGATGTGAATATTTCCTGTTTTCTATATTTCCATCTTGTTATTTACTTGGCTTGTTTAATATGTCTTTAATCTTGTTATGTAAACAACCATCTTGGCAATGGAAATATCAGGCTTGGGCTTTGCTTCGAGGACCCATCCTTTTTCTTAATGTCTGTAATCTTACTGATGTTTCCAAATTGATCTCTTCATAGACATGCACTTACCATTCCTCTTTTTCTGTTGAATTTACTGTAATTTAAAGTTGAGGAAAGCTTCAGTCCTTTCACTGCTAGTACATAAACATGTTTCATATAATTTTGCACATCCTACATATAATTTTGCACATCCTATATAATCTTATGACATGTATTATTTGGTTATGTAAATAGAAGTGGCTGAAGGAGGCAGCTTGCAGCCATGAATCATGGCACTGCAACTGAGTCAATTGCCAGACAAGAGGTTCTTTACATGAAACATATACTCTTTTTCACTTCTTGTATAATGTAGATTACTTAGTGTATGAGCAAATCAACGAATAACAGGGAAAGTTTACTGCATTGCTTGTTTGCTGGCTTCTGGGAAATGGATCCCTTGTCTCATGGAATAGCATGTTGACTATTGAAGATTACTATTCGGATATCTTTCCAGTACGTGCCTCTACATCTTTTATCCTATGAATTCAAGCTTGATGTTTGATCGTATTTCTGTTTGGTCGTTTCTAGTGTTTTTATGGGTATAATACGAGAAAAACCAGGTGCATATGCTAAGTGCTATAGATGATTGTTGCCTAGATTGCTAGTTCTCAGAGATTGATTGGAGTTTGAAGGTGTAATATGTGGTCGCGTAATGCACTTCTTTCTGTTTTGCTTGCATTGAAGGATTACCATCCTACAAGGGTACTATCACTTGTTTATCAACCTTTTGCCTTTGTGACGGTTGCAATATTGACGTACCATGAAGCAAGGCTCAATACGAGATCTCGAAATCTAGGAGGATTTTCTCTTTTCTTCATAAGTTCAGCTTTATTAATTGTTGTAAGTCTCTACAGTTTTCCTTTCACTATTGCATTATATTCACCTTTCAACCTTTTTGTGTTGGTTTTTTCTGAACACTTAAAACCTAACTCTAAAAATTATCCACTGTAGTTGGATGTGGCAACATCTGGTAGAGGAGGAATTTGGCCATTTATTGGAGTGTGTATTATTAGTGGAGTATTCGGAATTGCGGATGCTCATGTTCAAGGTGGAATGGTTGGTGATCTGTCTTTGATGTGCCCAGAATTTATTCAGGTAGTTAAGAGATTAGGTGTATGGATTCTTGACTTACTCTTCATAATACTGCCCATGTATATATTTAATTTTTCGGTGGAAATACAGTCATATTTTGCTGGCTTAGCTGCATCCGGTGCTTTCACCTCTGCTTTAAGGTTCATAACAAAGGCAGCTTTCGAGAATTCTCAAGATGGTCTACGCAAGGGAGCTAGTACGTGAAAACTATTATATTCATATTATTCATACAGCCTTACTTTCTTGAGGATTTTCTTGTTAAATGCATATTCTCCTCTATACTTTTTTCACTCAATTATATGTGCAGCTTGCACTGGTTTTTCACCATGAGAAACATTGGTAAAAGTTAGACTTGATTGTAAGGAAAAGCTAGGAATAATTGTAAGGACCTCTATAGTAAAAACTAGACCTCACTGTATCCAATGAACCTGTTGCAGATACACAAAAAGTAGCAGATTAGCATATTAAGCACATAGTGATCCATTAATTAGGCACAAACATACAAACACACACTTTCAATGAATCGCATCAATTGATGGAAGCATAGCTTGCTCAACTGCATGCGCAGATTCAAGGGGGACTAAAATATATCATAATTAAAAAAAAATCAAGTACGAGAATATATTTTACAGGAAACAAGGGCCTAATAGAAGGTTTAATAGATGAGCAATGTTGTGATGACAAACTGCAAGTCCTTAGGAACAAGATTGAAGGATCATTTTCATTTTGGATTTATTATGCATGGGTCATAAAATCATGAAATGTGAAGATCGAAGTAGCTCCTTTTCCCCCTGACGAGGACCTAAGTAGCTGAATCTTTGTTGCTGTCCTGCATAAACTGCAATAGCATTTAAAATGCACAGAATGTTCAAATGTCATATAGGGCATCAGTCAGAAATACGAAATAATTTGTATAAGACTAACTCTGTAATGCTACACACTTTAAAATGAAATATTATTTGTTTCTGAAAACTGCTTTCTCATTCCATGTACCATCATCATCATGTGTCTATTGGCTTCATGCGACGGTTTGTTTAAATATCTAACTTGCCATGAAGTGTGTGAATTTCTTGTGAACTTCTTCCTTCATTTTTTTAATTGCTAAAGACAGCTACAATTCTTTTGTAAGATATTCATTGAAATTGTTCCTAAAATACTGACACTAGTAGCTTATTGTTGCAGCATTGTTCTTTGCTATCTCAGCATTTTTCGAACTGCTTTGTGTTCTTTTATATGCATTTATCTTTCCAAAGCTACCAATTGTCAAGTACTATCGATCTAAAGCAGCTGCTGAAGGATCAAAAACAGTTTCTGCAGACCTCATTGCCGCTGGCATTCAACGGCAAAACCATGAAGTTGGTCTCTCTTTAATTGCTGTATGATTGCTCTCATTTCATTTGATGAATTGCACTTCATAAAATAAAACATTATTCTAACTTTACATGAAATGTTGCAGGTTGAAGAAGATCCAAAAATCCTGGAGCGTTTAAGTAACAAAGAATTGCTACTAGACAACGTAGATTATGCATTTGATTTGTATCTCATATATGTTCTGACATTGTCAATATTTCCTGGATTTTTATCAGAGGATACTGGATCACATAGCTTGGGTTCATGGTAAATGATTGTTCTTTAATTTTCTAGGGAAAATTTCACAAAACCCCCTGAACATTGGGGTATTTTGCACAAACCGCCCTGAATTTTATAAATCATAGAAAATCACCCTAAATTTGTTTTACCTAAGTACCATGACTGATCTTCATGTGACAACTCTCTGGACAAATTTCTCCTAATCTACTAAATATAGATTATATATTACCTTTTTTTTGTAAGATTGGTAAAACATAGAAATGATAGTTTAAGGCTTCATTTGGATACCATGGTGTTTTTCTTGTTGTGTTTTTGTAAAAAAACACCATGGTGTTGTGTTTTTCCCTTTAAATGTCACTATGTTAAGTATTTTTGGTCAACACTAATTTGAGCCGTTATAACATTAGTATTAAACATATTATTAATATATTATATATTAATTATAATAAAATATATTATAAATAAAATGTTATAATATTTAGTTTACATTATTTTAGTATTATAAGTATTAAATGTTATGCAATATAATATTGTATAATGTATTATAATATTATATTGTACTGTAATGAGTTATATTATATTATAATTATTACTTTTTTTTTCAAATAATTATATATTTAATTATTTTGGTAAATCAAATTGTTATTGTTGTATATTATATCAATATTTTTGTATGTTATTAATAAAGTAATATATTATAAATATTTTAATATTATATAATATATTATAGTTTTTAATATGTTAGAGTTTATTAATAGTAATTTAATAATATATTAGTGTTTATGATATAAATAAAAATTATTATATTATGAATATATTATTTTTACATTAACATTTGTTAGCAATAAATTATTTTATTATTAAAAATTATTTTAGTTTATAATAATTTATATTATTTACTACATAATATATTAATATTTTATATATTATATTACATTTACTATACAATATGTTATTATAATAATATTATTATATTGTTATGTTATTATTAAATATGTTACTATTATATAATATTTTATAATTATTAATTTATTACAATTTATTTGTGATTATACTTATTTTATAGTATATTATTATATCATTATTATATTATTATTTATTATCAATAACTTTATTATTATTTTTATTAGTTTATTTATATTTTTTTATTATTTATTTATTATATAATACATTATTAACATATTAAATATTGGTATTTAATATGTTATTATATTATTATATAAGATATTTTATTTATTATTTTTTTATATTATTTAATAAATATTACTAATATATTAAAATAACTATAATATAGTATAGTATAGTAATATAATAAGCATGTTGATAATAACTCTATATTAATTACATTTAATATATTATGTAAGATATTATATTAACACCTTCTCAAACTCAAACCCAAAACACCAAACTTAAAACACCTAAAAGCTGTTTTGAAATAAGTGTTGTGTTTTTTGTTTGAGAATGATTTAGCTCAAAAAACACCATGGTTTCCAAACGCATTGTGTTTTGTTTTTGACAAAAACACAACGGAAACAAGTAAAATATCATAGTATCCAATCGGAGCTTAACTTTCACCTCTACCTCTTAGCACGTTTTATGAGAGTTTCCAAATTTTACTACAATTTTCAAAGTTCTGGTAGAGGGGGTTCGTTCTATGATTTATAAAGTTCAGGGGGTTTTGTGACAGACGTCCAAAGTTCAAGCAGGTTTTGTGAAATTCACCTATTTCCTATAATAACAACATAACAGTACAATTTTTTGTTTAATACGATTGCAAGTGGTTTTCTCTGTCATCAGGTATGCACTTGTCTTGATTGCTACGTTCAACGTATGGGATCTCATTGGAAGATATATACCTCTAATAGAATGTCTAAGGATAAAATCAAGGAAAGGCCTGATGGCTGCAATTCTTTCTCGGTTCTTACTAATTCCGGCATTCTACTTCACTGCAAAATATGGAGACCAAGGTTGGATGATACTGTTGACATCTTTCTTAGGGGTAACAAATGGTCACCTTACAGTCTGTGTTATGACTGAAGCACCCAAAGGTTACAAGGTCAGTGAACTAAATTCTAATAATGCATATCAATAGTTAGTTGAAAGTTGAAACTATGTTTATTGATTGTGACTACGAAGAGAACTTATGGTTTTTTGTTGTACAGGGACCTGAGCAGAATGCACTTGGAAATCTGCTTGTCACTTTTCTTCTTGCTGGTATATTCTCAGGAGTTGTACTTGACTGGCTGTGGCTCATTGGCAAAGGCTGGTGATGATGATGCAGTGGCTTAAATATTTCAAATTTCTGAACATTAAAAAAAAAGTATTTATCATTTTAGTAGTTTAAAGGGTTATTTTCAGTAGCTCCTTTTACTTGTATTCAGGTGAGTAGTTCCTCAATTAAATATACACTGAAAGATGGTTTTTAATGGGATTGAACCGAGTTGCATGATTCATGTAACCAAGGGCATGAGAGAAGATTGAACCACAATTTGTTGTATTTATTTACTCAACTAGTTCTCTGCCGCATGCAAGTAAACTTGTGCTTAAAAATATTTTTAACATTTTAATAATCCATATTAATATGAATAGATTTTTTAGAAATTATTCCTAAAAGTGACATAAGTGTCTTATTATTAGAAATTTTGAAGAGTGAGGGGGAGGGGAGGGGTAGGCATGTCCAAAAAGCCCGCCGGCCCGGCCTGGCCCGGAAATCCGGGTCCGACCGGGTTTCGGGCCCGAGTACGCTCGGCCCGAATAGGTCGGCTGCCGCAAAATCGGCCGGCGCAGCCCGGGTCTCGGAGCCCGCCGGATTGTGCAACGGTCACCATAGGTTCGACCGTTGCGAGATAAGTCGTTGTGGCCAAAACGGTTGGGCCGGGCCGGGCCCCCGACCCAACCACAACTTCCATAAACGGTCTTTTGACCATTTTGTCCCCAAAAACGATAAAAAACGGCTATTTTGTGAGGTTATTTTGGTCATTTGTTTATGTGGCTGGCTCTATAAATAGAGGGGGTTTTCATTTATTTTCTTCACACCAAAACTCATCTACTTCTCTTTTATACTCTTATACTCTCTTATACTTTCTAATCCTTTCATCAAATGGCTTCCGGATCTGATTATGAAGAGCAAAACCTATCTCCCGATCTTGAAATGAGTCCTCCTACTGGGTCTACTCCTACCGAAGTTAATCCCGAATCTGGTGGCAACGAATCTGCACCAAGAGCTCCTAAAAGGTCAAGATCCGATGTGTGGAATTTTTACGAGAAGATCGACGTCACTAAGGATGAACACGGTAGGATCCTCACCCAAAAGGCTAAGTGTGCGTTGTGCGGCAAGATTTTTCAAGCTCATCATAAGAGCGGCACCAACCACCTCAAACACTACTTAGATAAACACAACAAAGATCAGACTTCTCAAGGTGATATCCGACAATCTATGATTTCTCAATCCTCTTTTTCTGGTAGTCTCGGTAGTTAGAACTATGACGCTGCCAGAGCCAGAAAATGCATAATCAGGTTTATCATTCTTAAAAACCTTTCTTTTAAATTAGTAGAAAATGATTAATTTGAAGATATGTTTAGAGATGGTTTTTATCCTGCATTTAAAAAAAATTCTCGTCAAACCTGTCAACGTGATATTTTAAAATATTATCAGGAGGAACAAAGAAAAATAATTTCTTATTTTAAAAATTTAAACTGTAAATTTTCTTTAACTTCTGATATTTGGACTGTTAGGAATCTTGACCCCAAGATTAGTTTGTTTTGATGATAACAAATATTATATGTCACCTCATTCCGATATCGGATGAGAAAGTTACAGTCAAAATACTAAACAGAAAAAATCCAGAATCTGAGTTTACAGTGTAGTCGACTACTATGCCTTATAGTCGACTACTGAGCAATTTTCTGACTTCACAGAGTCTGTTTAGACTATGCAGTTTTTCCAGATTTCAGGTTTTAAATAAGTGATTGTTTATAGCCGTTTTGTGGACGTTAATTGGGTTTAAAATTATGTCATTTCAGAGGCTATAAATAGGTTTAAACATCAGAAAACAAGCACCAAGTTTTACACTTGCAAGATCAAACATTTTGTGTATATTCACTCTCTAATTTTTCAGATTTTCATGCTAAGTGTTTAGAAAAAGAGAGTTTCTGATATTGCCTTGGTTTCAATCATTCTTAGAGATTGTATAGACAATATTCAGAGAGTTAAAAGAATCATAAGCCACTGCAGTACTTCACTACACTTTCAAGGCTTATAGGATCACTTGTGTTCTTGCTTCAAAAAGGATTTCTCTCGGGTTTGAGAGGGTTGATCTCTTGGTTTAGAGATTGGGTGGCAATTGGCATGGTCTTGTCAATTGGTGTTGCAATTTGCATGGTCTTGCAAATATCATAGTGGAAACTCTCAAGCGGGATTTGCTTGGGGACTGGATGTACACCGGGGAGGTGGAACCAGTATACATGCTTGTGTTTGTGATGTTTATTTTCTGAGATTGCCATTCTTTCTTTGCAATTTATAATATACTTTGCAAACTCGCCCTCTAGTGTTTAAGTGTAAAGCTTCCGCAGATTTTTATAAGAGCGCACTCTATTCTTAAGGGTCACGATCCTACACTTGGTATACATAAGCAAAATCAGGACCCTACATTTGGTATCAGAGATTATAAATGTAGGATCTGAAATAGATACACTAGAACACTAGAAGATGGGTGAATAGTATTCTTTTAAAATATATGCAAAGTAGATTATAAATTGCAAAGAAAAATGGCAATCTCAGAAATTCACAATCAAATACAAGCATGTATACTGGTTCCACCTCCCCGGTGTACATCCAGTCCCCAAGCAAATCCCGCTTGAGATTTCCACTATGATTTTGAAACCTTACAAAATCAAAAGCAAACCTGACCAATTTGCAAGACCATGCAAATTGCAACACCAATTGACAAGACCATGCCAATTGACACCCAATCTCTAAACCAAGAGATCAATCCTTTCAAACCCGAGAGAAATCCTTTTTGAAGCAAGAACACAATTGATCCTATAAGCCTTGAATGTGTAGTGAAGTGCTGCAGTGGCTTAGGATTCTTTTAACTCTCTGAATATTGTCTATACAATCTCTAAGAATGATTGAAACCAAGGCAATATCAGAAACTCTCTTTTTCTAAACACTTAGCATGAAAATCTGGAAAATTAGAGAGTGAATATGCACAAAATGTTTGATCTTGTAAGTGCAAAACTTGGTTGTTGTTTTCTGATGTTTAAACCTATTTATAGCCTCTGAAATGACATAATTTTAAACCCAATTAACGTCCACAAAACGGCTATAAACAGTCACTTATTTTAAACCTGAAATCTGGAAAAACTACATCTGTAGTCGACTACACTGAGTCTAAACAGACTCTGTGAAGTCAGAAAATTGCTCAGTAGTCGACTATAAGGCATAGTAGTCGACTACACTGTAAACTCAGATTCTGGAATTTTTCTGTTTAGTATTTTGACTATAACTTTCTCATCCGATATCGGAATGAGGTGATTTAAGATTTGTTGGAAAGCTCTTGAAGAGACCTACAACTTTGGTCTTTTGAGTTTTTCCAGATTCTAATTTCTAAGGGGTGTAAATGAAATGTTTTAAGACTCACTTAATATCTATAAACTCTAATGACTAACATAGGGGATTTCTATTGTTACCCAACACACTAAGCATGTGTTAGTGTGTTCTAACACTATGTGTGTGCATGTGTGTGAGTGATCAAGGCTTGTACAAATTTCTAAGCAAAGAAAATATAAAATTACATTTTGACAATAAAGTATATCTTCTTCTTTGCTTCATTTTGCCTTGAACTCATCTATGTCTTGAGTATCTCTTTGAATATAATTGTTGATATAGCTCTGATACTGCAAAACAAATGTTAGCACATAATACACACAACATATAATATTTGTTATCATCAAAACAAACTAATCTTGGGGTCAAGATTCCTAACATTCTCCCCCTTTTTGATGATGACAAATATATGTTATTAAGATATAAAAATTTTAATCCCCCTGCATGAAATCATTAAATAAAATCTTTTACTCCCCCTGCATCAAAGCATTAGTAAAAAATTTAAAATTAAAATTTTCTATATAACTCCCCCTTTGTCATTAGCAAAAAGAAATAAACATAATTCTAATTAAAAATTTCTTTTCTTGGGTACCTTAATAAAAATATCAAGCACTTTGGTACCCTTTTATATTATATCATTAGGATTAGCCCTTAGGAATCCAAATCCACTTGGAATTTGGTTTCCATTTGTTAACATAAGTGTAATTCTTTGAATTGCAAACTTCATAAATATAAGATGAAATATAATAATTCCTATCATGAATATTCAAATTCTTAGGAATCCATATATACTTATTTTGTTTAGCATGAATATTCTTATTATTATTCTTCAAAACATAATCATTCTTTATAAAATACTTAGGAACAAATCCAATGCGAAAATGATTGTTTGAAGATTTTTGAAATAAGAGCAAATTATTCAAATTCTCTTTACTTTTATTGAATTTACTAACATTCAAACATATATAATTACCTCTTTTGATGAATTTTCGAAATTTTCGTGCAAACATGCCCATTTCTTCATCATTATCATCTGAATCTTCTTTATCTGAAGTAGTATTGAATGCAAGAACTTTCTTTTTCTTAGATTCTTCATCATTCTTCCTATCTTCAATTTGTACTTCATATGCCATAAGATTACCAATAAGATTTTTAACCGTAAGAGTTGACAAATCATTGGCTTCTTCAATTGCGGTAACTTTCTTTTCCCATTGTGGAGTAAGTGAACGAAGTATTTTTCTTACCATCTCCACTTGAGTATAAGTTTTTCCAAGACCAATAAGAGAATTTGTGATGTCGGTGAATCTTGTGAACATTTCTCCAATAGTCTCATTTAAATTATTATTAGTATCTTTAACATTACTTGTACCTTCATGAGTTACCTCGAGTGTGTGCCAAATATCATATGCGGATGTGGCCGTTGACACCCTATTGAACTCATTCTTGTCAAGTGCACAAAATAAGGCATTCATTGCTTTAGAATCCAAATTTGCATTTTTCCTTTGAGATGTAGTCCATTCCGCAAAAGGAGTGGTTGGTTTCTCATATTTTGTTTCCACAACGTTCCAAAGTTTGTAGCCAATTGATTGAAGGTATATCTTCATTCGACACTTCCAATAGTTGTAGTTCAAACCATCGAACATTGGAGGATGATTTGTAGAGTGACCTTCCTTGAATTGTGTTGTATTTGACGATGCCATCTTTCACCTATCTCTGATACCAAATGTAGGATCTGAAATAGATACACTTGAACACTAGAAGAGGGGTAAATAGTGTTCTTTTAAAATATATGCAAAGTAGATTATAAATTGAAAAGAAAAATGACAATCTCAGAAATTCACAATCACAAGCACCAAGTTTTACACTTGCAAGATCAAACATTTTGTGTATATTCACTCTCTAATTTTCCAGAT